TATATATATATATAAATTATATATATATATATATATATAATTTATATATAGGTATATATATATCTTATTTATACTTCTATATATATATACGTATATATATGTATACGTATATATATATACACATATATATGTATACATATATATTTATATGTATACGTGTATATATATATACGTATATATACGTATATATACACACGTATTATATATATACGTATGTATATACACGTATATATATATATATACGTATAATATACATGCGTATATATATATACACGCGCGTATCTGTATATATATACGTATATATATATATATAGGGCCTATATACTTTTTAAGCCATGTATCATGCATAGAACGTTGACGCCTGCAAGGCTCTGGTTTTAACATTTGGAGCTCAACTTATTTGTGTTACAGCCCAGTTTAATATGTCATCAGTTTAAACAACTACTAAGTTAATTATATCTACACAAAAAAACAGGAAAATTGATATAAAAAAAAACTTTCATTACTAACAAGTATAAAATAATTAGATATAATGGAAACAGTAATGGGAAAAAAAGAGCATCCATGTATAGCTCCAGTGGTACTTTACATTTGTTAGACAGAATCAGTGAATCAACATCATCATGTCTCCTATCATGAAGAAAAACAGCCACAATTTAACAAAAGATTAACTTTTACTGATTTAAGTTTATTAATTAATACAAATGAATGAAAGAAAATACAAATTTAAAATCCAAGGGTGAAAAACCAGTTAAATATTTATTAGCTTGGTTTACGTCGAACTTTATCTAGATATACCCGTCTTGAAACATGATACGATAATCCCCTAATTGCGTTCGATGCCAAGTTAGAGCCAGATGAACAGCCAGCCAGTTCCAGGCTGTCGATGTCACACGGTGGAAAGGCTTGTTTAATAAAACATCTACTGTATTTTACGAACCTCTAGTACCAAGTGGTATTCGTTCAAAAAAAATTGTAAACTACTGTAGAGAAGGTGTGAGTTTCCACTACCTAACCTAGCCGACCAGTATGAACCAACGACCAGTGCAGCAGCGTGTTCTATCGCAATCTAAGTGGTAGATTCTCTAGGCCCTAGCTATATTTACCTTCGATAAAAAATGAATTATTTTAATCGCTAGCTAGCATTCTTCCATTTAACAAAATATTGTTTTAATTTTCATTAAAACGTATGTATACTTTATGGACCTTTCTGTCCTGTTTTGTAG